GGTCAAGCACTTTACACACAGTGTCTCACCCAATTCCCTCAATGAAACCTCGCAAGACAGCCCGTGCTCCTTCCAGAGTGAGAACAACGACCCCCCACCTCGCCAGGCCGCGAGGCTCCGCCCTAGGCACGCCGGCGTCGTTAGGATACACTTGCTTATATTTACAGGCCCCCTTGACGTACAAAAGGGACCAGGGCCCGCAGGTGGAGAGAGGGAGATAGCGAGGGTAGCCCACGAGGCCACGGGCCGGCGCTTGTGGGGCCTGTGCGGTCCTACCTGGCTTCGCTCTCGGTGTTCCCGCTGCCGGGATTTAGCCGCCTTCCGAAAAGCCGCCGCCATGTCTGCTCACGCCTGGAAAAGCTCAGTAGACAACGCCGGTCCAGCACCGCCTCAACCGCCGCGTCCACCGACCCTACCGGAAGTAGGCCAGGACCCTAGATACTTAGAACGGCCCACTTCCTCTCCGCAGCCTATCCGGCGCCTGCCTTTCCGGAACTACGTCCTCCAGCAGAGGCGTCCAGCCCCAAGCTGCTTCTGGGAAATGTAGTTCTCTAGGTCTAGTCCCGTGACTCTGCAAGAGTCAGTTCTCATTCGCCAGAACTTGTGCACGTTTACCGAGATCTCGTTTTCGCGCTCGGTTTCGCGTTGGCACCTGGGAACACGTGGCTGGCACTGCCCTCCGGCTGAGCTGTGCCTGGAGTGTGCGCATGCGCAGTCACCGCTCTGCTCTACTTACCCTGCTTACGCGGTGCGTTTAAAGGTACGAGTTGTGTGAATTTTGCAGTGTACCGGAAAGAGCACTCTAGACAGACAGGAGACCTTAAAACCATGTTTGGCTCTGCCACTTACCGGCTGTGTGACTTTTGACAGGTCTTTTGACTTTAATGAGCATCATTTTTCTCGTCCATAAAGCAAGGATAATAATGTGCTCTGCTTGCTTCACAGGACCGTCAAGAGGTTCACAGTTGAATGGAGGAGTTCTATCCCGACAGTAGTTAAAAACTTTGAGTCCCTCACACCCTCAGGGAATGGCTGGCTGACAGAATGAGTGTCAGAGGCAGTACAACGTAACAATTAGGACCAAAAACCATAAAGGTGTGTTCTAACCCTAACTGCCACCAGCCAAGGCAAAATTAGCTTCAACGAACCTCGATCTCCCCATCTAAAATGTTAGTAATTAAAGTATACCCACGAAATTGTTGTAATGATTAAACGAACTAATATGTTTAAAGTGCTTAATGCTGTGTTCACCCCTTAAACGAGTTCACAATCAATTGGAGCAATGGTTGTTATTACTAAACCTACCAGTAAGGATAGAGAGAGGGTTGGGCACAGCAGGGCACTTCAGAGGTATTTGGTTTCTTTTCCATCACATGAAGCTAACCCTCAGCGAGTTCTGTAATTGCACCCATTTGTCATGACAGAGCTCACCGCTCGAGCCGAGGTGCTCTGAGGAAATCCTCTCCTCAGTCCCCAGAGATGCCTGGAGTCCAGTAGACGGGCGGGCATGACAAAGCTGAAAGTGCTGAGATCCGCCATGTGAAAAGTTTTTTCCTGCCTCAGTCTGAGCCTTTTGCCCAACTCAGGTCACAGACATGAACAAACTTCCACCTCATTTGTGACTTAACCATTGAAAGACAAGGCCCTTCATGACTTGGCCCACTATTCCAGCCTCAGCTCGGTTAAGGGGACCCAGGAATCAGCCTTGGATTTGAATCGCACATCCACCACTATCAGCTTGGATTTGGGGCCACCTTGTCAAATTCTCTGAGCCCCACATCCTACTCTATCAAATAGTGATAATAATATAACCAACCCATATGGCTTTTGTGAGAACCGAAGGAGGCAATAACTAGCACGTAGCATGGTGCCCTGCATGTAGTGGGCATTTAACAGGTTAACTCTCCCGCTTCACCCTCCCAACCCTGCATACTCTGTAGAAGTCACTCAGCTCACCCTCTACACCCACAGAGGCTTGGGGTCAGGAGAATAGTGTTTCTGAGCAATCTGAAAGAGGGTGTCTGCAAGCCATGAGGCCTGGCAGGGGCTCCAGGCAGCCCAATGGGTAAGAGTGGGCAATATGCCCAGAGAAGGAAGGAAGTTTTCCCACTGGGGAAAGGAGGGCTTGTGATCACAAGAATCAAGGAGTGATTCAGCACCCAGAGGAAACCGTGAGAGGCCTGTCAGTTGTCACTCAGGGCCTCCTTTTAAAAAATGCATCCAAGATGAGAGAACAGCCAGGAGACCCAGAGCAAGCCCCCTTCCACCACGAGATAAGGAAGGGTGTGTGGGGGCCTCCTGGGTGGGCGAAGGGACAGCCAGATCCCACTCACCCAAGGCTAGTCATCCAGTGATCAGGCTCTTCTTCCAGTCCCCGCTCAGACACACCTGTTCCCTAGAGAGGGAGGGAGGACTGATGGGAAATGGGAACAGGGAGTCCATGTGGCTGATCCTTACACCTCCCTGGGGCACGTAGTCCTCCTGGGCCAAGGGAAATGTGAGCCCACTGGGGAGCTGGAAATGGAGAGGGGAAAGGACATAGCCCCTGCCCTACACCAGCGTCCCTCCCCCAGCCTGGGTCAAACCAGAAATCTAATTTTCTCTGGCCTCCAGACTTCAAGTCCAAGCCCCAGAACCTTAACACTTGACCGTGAAAGGGAATGTGTTGCATCAGGCGAGTCCCACATATTCAATACCTACTGTGTACTCTCCTCCAATACTCATGAGAATGCTGGGAGACAGGGAGTCAAGCACTCTTAACGGATGAGCAGACTGAGGTGTAAAGAGGTTGAGTGACAAAAGAGGCTGCAGGGCCTGCCAGTTAAGCCCTTTTTGGCATAAGGAGCTTTGACATTTGATTGTGTGGATTTGAATCCAGCCTTTGCCATTATTAGGTGTGTCGCCCTTGGCAGGTTACTTACTCTCTCTGTACCTCCATTTTCTCATCCTTAAAATGGGATAAGAATACACATTTCATATAGTTGTCGGATAATCAAGAACATTAATTCTGCGAAGTGTTATATGCAAAGTGCTTAGGCAGGGACTGGTGCAAAGAACTCAGGAAATTGGGGCGCCTGGGTGGCTCAGTCATTGAGCATCTGCCTTTGGCTCAGGTCATGATCCCAGGGTCCTGGGATCGAGCCCCGCGTCGGGCTCCCTGCTCAGCGGGAGGCCTGTTTCTCCCTCTCCCACTCCCCCTGCTTGTGTTCCTGCTCTCGCTATCTCTCTCTGTGAAATAAATAAATAAAATCTTTAAAAAAAAAAAAAAAAACCTCAGGAAATCCTGGCTTGAGGTTCAAGCCATGAGGAAATACCAGAGACCCCAACTCTACCTTTGATCTAGGACCTTCCTTATTCAGTCATAATCCCTCCCTCTCTGAAAGCTGCTCATCTTTACCCTCCCCTCACCCAGAACAGACCCCTCCTTGTCATCTACTCCAACCAGGCAATCTTCCCTGCCCTCCCCAGGGCTAGGAGTCGCCTACACCTACAAGACAAAGCCCAGAGAAAGGGCCCATCTGTGGGCAAGTATCTCTGATCCAAACTGGGGTAGAGGGGAGTTGAAACTGAAGCAGTGTCTGTCATTGTCATTCATTCATCAGATATTTATTATGTGCCAGACTTTGGAGTAGGTACTGGGAATGTGGTAGTGAACAAGAAGTACCCAGTCCCTGTCCTCATGGCACTTACAATCTACGCATCAGGAACAATCATAAATCAATTAGTTTGATTTTGGAAGGAAACCTGGCCTCGAGGGTGAGTTGGGACCCAGGAGGGCAGGCATATGATTCAGAGATGGGAGAGGAAGGTATTCAGGAACCCCAGCCTGGGAGGGAATGAGTCTCTGCTCTGAGAACTTGGCTGGACCCAGCCTGGGGGATGGGAGAACCTCTGTGGGCACCTGAATCTCTACTCTAGATGCTGAGGTTATTTCTAGGGTTGGTTTGTTGTCTCCTGTTTTGCAAACAGCACAGCAGAGCCTCCTCCTCCCTCCCCCACCCTTCTAGATCGAGGCTATTTATGCCCAGTGACAAGCCTGAGGATCCCAGGGGGGTTGGCCTCAAGGACCTGGAGGGGCCTTGTGTCCCTGGCAGGCGCCAGTCTTCCCTCCCAGGCACAGGGAGGAAGCCAGAGGATTGGAAACTGTAGAGGTGGGGGAGGAGGGGTTCCCTCCACTTCCCTCCACCAACCCTGCAGTGCCGATCCGAACACACTCTTCACACCCCTCCCTGAGAAACTCAAAAAACCATGGGGCCAAGGATTAGGGTCTCCCCTGGGCTTCAAAGGTCAAAACTATTCCTGGGCACTGTGGAAACCAAGGCCGAACTTCTCTGTCCCAGGGTGCAGCTGGAGGTGAGGAGGTGGTTACTTCTGTTTTTGCCACTCAGAGTTGTGAAATCAAGCCCTATGAAGGTCAAAGCCCTGTCCGGGGTTGGGGGTCCTTGTTTCCAGAAAACACCAAGCTTGGTTCCCACTGACAGGGCCGGGACAGCAGAATCTAAACCACCCCCTCCTCCAGGCTTAAGTCCTCTTTTACAAACTCGGTCTAGGTGTGACCCCGGGGGGTAAGCTGGAAGCGGGGGAGAGACACGAAGAGGCCATGAGGACTCTTGGTCCCCCAAGGGACCTTGGTTGGCTGGGTCCTGTACCCCTCGCTTGAGATGGAGTACAGCAGTCTCCCGCTGGCTGCCGGTGGGAGTGGGGGGGGGGGGGAGGGAAGGCAGGGGGAGAGGACCAGGAAAGCGAGGAGGGGACGGGGGCGGGGTCCTGGCCGCCCGGGAAGGTTGAGAGAGCCGGGTTAGACTGGGCCGGCCGAGGGGGCCTGGAGCGGGCTCCAGCCCACGGAGGAGGTGTGGGCGGGGTCTGGCCCCCCGCCTGCAGGATGCGGGGCCGGGGCGGGGTCCGCACCCCGCGGGCAGGGGCGGCCGGGGGCGGGGTCCGGGCGGGGCGGGCCCCGCGAGCACTTCCTCGGGGAGGGGTTGGGGCCGCGCTCCCACTCGCCCACACAGTCCGTGTGCAGCCGGCAGCCTTGCGGAGCTCGCTCGGCCCCCGCTCTGCCCGGCCCGCAGGTACGAGCCGCCGAGGGACGCGCGGCCCGGCTTCCCCGCTCCCGCCGCCCGCTTCGAGGTGAGCTCCCCGCCGAACCCGGCTCCGAATCCCGGCTCCCGGCCGCCGCCCCCTGCTCCCCACTCGGGTCCGGCCGCGATGACCGGGGGCGCGCTGGGAGCGGGCGGCGCGGGGTGCGCTGAGCCCCGGAGGGCGCCCCCCGGATCGCACCGATCCTGGCCGCCCGGAGGGGCGGGGGCTACTCCGAGATTTGAGCGGGGGAGGGGGCCAAGTTTGAAACGGAGAAGCCAGAGTCGAGCGAGGGACCGGGAGGATTCGAGAAACTGAGGCTCCCAGAAAGGCCGGTGGAGCGAGACCAAGACTGGGACACAAGCGACAGGCTTAGACAGGAGGCTGCAGGGATACCCGAGGAGGGGACAGAGAGTTGGCCGTAGAGTCACCGAGAGGCAGACACGAGGCATAGGGACCGACCCAGGTTTTGTGGAGCAAAGCATTTGAAGGAGAAGCATACATTGACCCCAGTGAACACATTGTAACGCCCTTCTCGGGGCTTTGCAGGGTCCTGGGCAAGTGAGGGGCCCTGAAGCCTAAGCTTCGTTAGCCTCGTGATAGATCAGCCTCTGTGAGGCCTATAGAGCCGTCCAGAAACTGGAGACAGACACTCAGGAACAGAGGTGCTAAGAGAGAGAAGGGGTGGGAACCCCTTGGAGACACTCAGATACCAAGATTTGGGTGTACAGAGGTAGAAATCCTCAGAGGGGGGCCGTTGGGAGATAACCAGCCAGAGATACACGCAAAACATAAAGACAGCTGAAGTGTGCAGAGACAGACACACTGAGTGGGGCAGAGCTGGCTTTGATGGAGGCGCACTGACAGCTTCCCAGACAGACCTGGAAAGGCTCAGGCCTGAAAGACTGGGAAGCAAGGATGTGGGGAAACAGAAACTCTGGGCCAGCCAGGCCCTTGTGAGGCAGAGGACCTGAGACAGACTGAGATCAAAAAGGAGCCCCAGGCATATACCAAGACAGCCCCAACTTATTTTTAAACTCAAATCTTGGACACGCTGCTTCAGCCCTGGGGGACCCAGGGTGAATGAACTGTTCCTCTCCTGTCCCCCAGGCAGCTGCTGGATCCTGCTTCCCACCCCCCTGCCCCTAAACTGCTCTGACTCCCAGGCCCCATGGAGGGAGGGAAGGGGAGAAGGGAGAGTTTGGGGTTGGTGCCTGATAGCAGGAGGTGGGGGGTGGGGGGAGTTAGGTTTCTCCCCTTAAATCTCCTGTCAGTTCCTGGGAGCTGGGGGAGGGGTCTGATCTGATCCTGACTCACAGCTGTGGGGCCTGGCCAGGGTCCTCCTGGACAGTGCAGGGTGGAGGGGGGCAAAGGAGTTGAGCGGTTGGCATGGGCAGTTGGAAAGGCTTCTGGGTGTCTTCCAACAGCAGGGTTAGCAGCTGGGGGAGAAGAGTGAGACTCCTGTGCTAGTGATGTCACCGCGTATCTCCTGTACCCCTGCTCTTAAGTGTTGACCACCCCCTTTATCGCCACTGCAGCATTTTTTGGGAGAAAAACAGGAAAGGGCTCCAGGCTAGAAAGCAGAGAACCTGGCCTCTCTGAGACTTGAGTGACCTTGGGCCTGGCTTGTTCCTGGTTTCTGTGCTCAACTATAAAATGGGAATGATAGCCTAACCTGCCTGCCTTTTGTGAGATCTGGTGAGATGGTGGATGGGATGGCACTTCATGAGAGGCAGGGCAGCATGCAGGTGTGTGAACCTGTGTGCCTGTGTGAGGGGTCTCCCTGGGGTCAGGCTGGCCCCACTGATCTCCTCAGCCAGCCCCACGGCCTGAGCGTTTTCACTTCCCCCAGCAGAACTGGCGGGAGGTGGGGGTCCCTCTTTGTTCTATCCCTGGGTCTACCCCAAGAATGTCCAGGTCAAAACCCAGGCCAGCTCCCTGACCCAGGCCTGGCTCAGAAACATGTCTGACCCCTGTGTGAGCGAGGGGCTAATAATAAAAATGCCGACGACTACCATTTACTGACTACTCACTTTCTGCCAGGTGCTTTCCAAGCACCAGCATTTCAGCCCGACAACCCCAGGAGTAGGAGGTAGCCTTAGATAAGAAAACAGGCCCAGGGACCTTAAGTGACTTGCCCAAGATCACCCAGCTAGTAAGCGAAGAAGTCAGGATTCAGACCCACATGCCACCTTTGGGCCTCTATACTCCACATGTCGCAGCCATTTATCCAGCCATTCTGAGCTCTGGGAGGTTCACTGGGATGTGCCAGATGTGTGTGTCTGGGTCAGGTGTAGGGGTGGAGTGTGTGTGTGTGTGTGTGTGTGTTTATTGGTGGGAGCAGGGGCTGAGAGCCATCTGGCAGACTGGGCAGTCTCCCCTGCACCTCCCCCCCCACCCCACCAGCCTTGAAGGAATATAAGACTGGTTCTCTTCAGTCCCCTAGCCCTGCCAGGGAAAGTGGGAGGGAGGTGGAGAGGGAGGGGGATGGGCAGGGACAGGTGGGCCTTGATAGTGCCCTTCACTCTGTCCTCATTAGAGCCCAGCTGGACAGACTAGGGGACTGGGGGATTCTGGGAAGGAAACAGAAGCCATGCCCATACCCTATTTGGGGTGCCCCTGTCTCAGAGTGGTGACTGCCTCCCAGGGGGTGGTCTCAGGGCTAGCCTGGGCCTGGGAAGGTGATGGCTGCTGTGGGCCAAGCCAGGAAGGAAGAAAAAAACTCGGGGCACCTCCGGACACACCATGGCCACACACTCCACCTGTGTGGCCCCCTGCTGCCCAGTGGCTGACAGCCCAGGCAACCCTCAGATGTTGGGCCAGAGGAAACCCAGGCCTGACTGGTGGGGAGCGGACCAAGAAGGAGGTCTACCCTCAACCCTACAGCATAGCCCTGCCCCAGAATCACCTCTCTGAAGACCCCAGCCCCTGGAGGCCTCCTGGCCTGGCCTGGGGTACAAACTTCATATCTTCCCCCGAACTTTGTATCTTCCCCCGCTGTACAGAGGGGCAGCTTTGAGTTCACAAACCATCCCTTCAAGAGCCAGGCCCTCCAGGCTTGGGGCGTTTGCTGGCGCCTGGAGTCTGAACTCCAAGCCAGAGCAACGTTTCTTGGCCAGAATTTCTCACTGGGGGTGGCTGAGAAAAGGAGCACTTTTCCTTCAACTCGAGCCTGGGCAGGCTCTGGGGACTGCCAGTTACTGGGGGTGTGTGTGGGGGGAGTGGGTTGGTGGGTTCCTTTGTCCTCTCCAGGTTCCTCTGCAGCTGTGAGAACATCCCCTTCCTATGAGTCCTGGTGGTGCCTCTCCACCCAGCCTGGGATCCCAGCCCTTAGAGAGCAGGCTTCATGATGGAGGACGCTGGGGGTGGGGAGCTCTGAATTTGGGACTAGAGACTGGAGTCAGGAGCAGCAGAAGGGACTGGGAACCCCACTTCCCTGCCCCCCCCCCCACTCCCCATGCTCCTGTTCCAGAGGCAGCTGTGTGGATGACCTCATCCCACAAACATGCTTTGTTCCTGAGAAAATGGAAAGTGTCTGAGGTTTGGTGGGGGCTGGGTGTCTGCAGCAGCAGCCCTCAGGGCTCCCCCCGTGCCTGACTCCCCACCCAAGAGGGGGCCTGATCGGGGAGAAAATGTCTTCTGTGGCTCCCACTCTCTCACCCTCCACGCCGCCTACCCCAAACCCTCAGAAACCGGAAAAGCTGGGGAGAGTCTGTTTCTCCCAGAGGCAGGGGGAGGGAAATAATGACCCAGGCGATTGGAAAGATGGGCCAGGAGTGATGCCTGGAGGGGCATGCTGTGTAATCCCCGTCTTTAGTTCCCTTCTCCCTCCGCAGGCATCTCACCTCGGTTCCCTTTTCTCGCCCCTGTGGCTGGCCAAACCTGACATCTGGCTGTTGTCGTGCTGCCACAGCTGCTGTGCAGGCCAAGGCTGGTGTGACCAGAGACCCAGCAGGGGCTGCAGGGGGCTGAGGACAGAGGGTCCAGCTTGCAGGACTTCCTTCCTACTTAAACCTAGCCTGAGCCTCTGAAGTCCTTGCTTGGGCTGACTCTCCCGGACAGACAGACGGACGGAGGCCCCGAGGTGACTTCCATCTCCATCATTCAGGGCCCAACATCCCTCTAACATTCCACTGGCTCCTGGACCTGGAGAGGGCGGACACAGCCCATTCACATCCCTAAGCTCCTCACTAAGAACTCTGGGTAGAAGTTCCTTTTTCCATATCTGTAGGGCCCCTTCCTGGGAGTCAGGAGAGGGTGGGAGTGCTGTTCCTTCGGGATAGAGAGTGGGGTGGCTCCCTGCCCTGGCTCTTGTCCCCTTGGGGACAGTAGGGACAGTGGAAGCTAAACGCAGGCTGGGGCAGGAAATGAGTCACTGACCCAGGAAAAGCCCCCTCCCCCCAGATCTGCCAGGGCCCAGATAAGAAAACAACTTCTGCTTCCTGATTTTTTCCTGACCCCTTCTCCCCCGCCCCACACGCTGTTAAATACAGAAATAAACATGCGGGACTCCTGGGTTTCCAGAAGCACCCCCTTCCTCATCGCCTGCTGTTTGCACCTGGCATTTCTTAGGCCTTGGTCTCCTGCTCTTTCTTTTAACGCAAAGAGCTTTTGCAAGGGGCTAAGCCACAGCCCCTCTGGGTGACGCGTGCCCAACCTTTGGCGCCTGACAGGGCTCACTCACAGCCACCATGAGCGAGGCCTTTGACTGTGCAAAATGCAGCGAGTCCCTGTATGGCCGCAAATACATCCAGACGGACAACGGCCCCTACTGTGTGCCCTGCTATGACAGCACCTTCGCCAACACCTGTGCCGAGTGCCAGCAGCTTATCGGGCACGACTCCAGGGTAAGGGCTGGACCAGAGCGGGCAAGGAGTGGGTGGAGGCTGGGGCGGAGGGGCAAAGGTGCCAGCGCCCCTTGCCATGCTCCCTGCAGGAGCTGTTCTATGAAGACCGCCACTTCCACGAGGGCTGCTTCCGCTGCTGCCGCTGCCAGCGCTCCCTGGCCGACGAGCCCTTCACCTGCCAGGACAGCGAGCTGCTCTGCAATGACTGCTACTGCAGCGCCTTCTCGTCGCAGTGCTCGGCCTGCGGCGAGACCGTCATGCCCGGTACGTGCCCGGGGCCGCCGTGCGCGTGCGCGTGCCGCCCCGATGTAGGCTCGTGCACGGCCGAGGGACGGGCACCTGTACGGTACATCCAGGGAGGCTTAGTGTTGTAAAGACCTGCACGCATGGCATCTTTTTGGAACTTGAGCGCATACGGGATCGGTCCTGCCTGTATGCTCCTGGGATATTAGCGTGCGCGGGGACTGGCACACCCAGGTATACGCATGAGCGCTTAGCACGCGCAGGAATGGACCCGCTTGGTATGTTCCTGAGGGTTTAGCGTGTGCACCTGTGGGCTTACCATGTACGGGCAGACTGACAAGCTTCAGACACACCCGGGGGCTCAGCATGCATGAACACCTGCGTGTTTGGTATGTGTTGGAGCGAGGAGTCCAATGAGACCGTCATGCTTGGCGCATCGGGGCTTGGTGTACATAGAGACAGATCAACAGGGCCTAACATGTGTCGTGACCTGCGTCCCTCATAGATATGTGAGGGCTGAGGACAGGTGGAGAATGACATGATCAGGAGACACCAAGGCTTCGCATGTACTGAATCCATCGGGTCCTGGTCATTAGAACTCTGTTGGGGGTCTTTGTGGGTGTGGCTAAAGCCATCATGTCTGGTGTAGAAGGACTTAGTGTGAACTGAGTCATCATGCCTGCGACATGGGGGCCTGGTGTATGCTGACATAGTCATATCTAGCACATGTGGGGACTTCACAAATGTCAGACCCTCACATCTAGATTATGGGGGCCTAGCATGTGCCCAGCCATGTGCATAGCATGTGCGGTGTTGGGGGGGGGAGGGTCGCATGTGCCATGTAGGTGGCAAGGGTCCTGCTCCATGTGCGTGGATGCCACCCTGCTTAGGCTCTGGGAACAGCAGGGACTCTCCTCAGGGGTTAGCAGAGGGTGGCCCTCAGGAGCTTGGGACACAGCCTCTGAGTGGGACCCCTGTTCCCCACAGGGTCCCGGAAGCTGGAATACGGAGGCCAGACATGGCATGAGCACTGCTTCCTGTGCAGCGGCTGTGAACAGCCGCTGGGCTCCCGTTCCTTTGTGCCCGACAAGGGCGCTCACTACTGCGTGCCCTGCTATGAGAACAAGTTCGCTCCTCGCTGCGCCCGCTGCAGCAAGGTGGGGGCTGGGCCAGTGGGGTGGGGGGTGAGCAAGGCTCCGTGCTGGGGTGGGGCTCGCCACTCCCCGCCCCCTGCTGACCGATGCTGCCCCCACAGACGCTGACACAAGGTGGCGTGACCTACCGTGACCAGCCCTGGCATCGAGAATGCCTGGTCTGCACAGGGTGCCAGACGCCCCTAGCAGGGCAGCAGTTCACCTCCCGGGATGATGATCCCTACTGTGTGGCCTGTTTTGGAGAACTCTTTGCACCCAAGTGCAGCAGCTGCAAGCGCCCCATCACAGGTGGGACAAAGGGTCAAAGAGCATGGCGGGTAGGATGCAAGCAAGGGAATGGGATCTGGTATTGGGTGAGGCTGAGGGACAGGACTGCGGCCGATCCACAGAGCTAACCTCCGGCCTCCCTCCAGGACTCGGTGGAGGCAAGTATGTGTCCTTTGAAGACCGCCACTGGCACCACAGCTGCTTCTCCTGTGCCCGCTGCTCTACCTCCCTGGTGGGCCAAGGCTTTGTGCCCAACGGAGACCAAGTGCTGTGTCAGGGCTGCAGCCAGGCAGGGCCCTGAGCCAGGACTCCTGGGCCCAGGGCCTCCCAAACCAGGGCTCCAGGACTGAGGCTCCTGCTCCACACCACCTTTGGGACCCAGCCCCTTCCCTAAACTGGGGCTCCTCCTGGGCTCCAGGAGTCAGCTTCCCTGCTCCAGCATCCCCAAACCGGTACTCCCTGACCCAGGGCCCCCCAACTGGGACCCTTATGGAGCCTCCATGATTCAAGCCTGGACTCCAGAATTCAGCCCTCTCCTCACGATCTGGGTCCCAGACCCAAGGCTCTAGACCCAACCCTCCAAACTGGACTCTGGGACCCAGGCCCCCTTCAATCTAGACTTCTTTCCAGAGACTTTAGGTCTTCTGTGGGTGCCTCCAAAGTGGACTCTCCTCAGGCTTGATCCTCCCCACCCCCATCCCACCCTATCCCCGGGGCTGGGGCTTTCTGGGCCGCGAATCAGGGGTTCACTGTTTAAGGGGATCCTAGAGCACAGGGTTTTGCCCAGTCCGTGTCTGTCGAGTGTTTTCTCATTTCATTTGAGCTCCATTTTTGCCCAGAGATGGGCAGAGGGGTGGGATTGGTTCACCCCCCCTTCCAGGTTCTGCAATAAAGCAGTGTGAGGAAGCGAAGGCCTCTGTGTATTTGTCTGGGGGTGGCGGGGGTGGCGGGGGAAGGAAGGTTCCCTCGCAGACCGCGAGACTCAGGCTCTTCCAGACCTCCTCTGCGCAGGGCAAAGGAGGAAGCTGCTGGGCCACGGGGTGGGAAATCTCCGGAGAACGGGGATCCCCGCTGCTGCTACCGTCCCTCTCAGGCTTAGCCAGCCTCCCCGCTGCTGGCGAAGGGCTTTTTCCTCCGGGTGGGGGAGGGAGGGGTTTGGGGGAGGTCCCGGACGGGAGTGGAGTTGGCAGTGGGTTCCCCGGTCCAGGACAAACCGCCTCTCTCCCTCAGCAGCCCTTCCCAAATCCCGCAGAGCACCCGGTGCGGATTCCCAGTCTGGGCCCAGACCCCCAGCCCCCTTCCCCCTCTTCCCGAGGATTAGCGGAGGCGGCCCGGGATCCGCTCGCGGCCGCACGTTTTTTTGCCAAAAAAGGCAAGGATGCAGCTGCACGCGCCGCGGGAACATCTGGATCCGATTCCCGGCATGAATGGGTCACGGCCCCGCCCTCCCGTGATTCAGGGGCGGAGGCGGGAATGAGCGAGGGGGGCTGTCCCCCAAAGTGGGGAGATGGGGCGGAGCGCTGCTCCCCTCTGCCGGCGTCCGACGCCGGCTGCCCCAGCCCCGCCCTCGGCCCCCGACGGTCGGAGGCGCACTGGTGCGCGCTAGCGCGCGCTGCTTACGAAACCCTTGGGCCCGCCCGCCGCCTCTTGGGGTGGGGGACCGGCGCCACGGTGCGGGTGGACCCTCGCGTCCCCTGAGGGAGGGGCCCTCGGTCCGGCCGACCCGCGTGATCATCTGTATCTCATACTAAATCCTCCCAGAAATCCTATGGGGCGCGCATTTTTCCATTTCACAGAGGTGGAGACTCCACTTGTCAGTTCCCCAAAGCCACCTAGGTAATCACAGGTGGATTCCTTTCAGACTGCCTCCCGGGCCCGATTCGAATCCTAAGCTTTCTGGGGCTGTGGTTGACATTTTCAACAAACCTTTACAAATACCCACCATGTGTGCTTATAATTAGTAATTACATGTTTACATTTTTGTCTCTTTCTGCCACCGGCTTCTACGAGGACTGCGCTTGCGCCTGCCTTGCTCACCCTACTATTCTCAGCTCCCGGCACGTACTACTTGTTCAATAAATACTTGTTGAGGAAGAGTAGTCCAAGCATGGAAAACAGCTGGTGCAAAGAACGGGAGACCTGAAAAAACATATGGCGCTTTGGGGAAGCAGCAGATAATTTCATTTGGAGGAAGTGCCAAGAGACTAAAATGGCAGGCAGAGGCCAGGTCACAAAAAATCAAATGCCAAGTTAAACAGACCTCACCCTGAGGGAAAAGCAGCCAGTGGAAATGTTCAAGCAGGGGCATAAGATGATCACTCTGGCTACAGCATGAATAATGGATTGCAGGGGTAAGATGAACAAGCTCTGTTGGAAGCTGGTGCACTGGTGGAGGAGAGAGAGAAAGAAGCCAGTGGCATCAGGGTGGAAAAGACAGGACTTGGGTGACTGGCTGGAGGGACTGGAGAAGGAGAAGGTTTTAGGGGAAGGGAGGTGAAAGGTTTTGCTTAAGTGGTCCACCCCCCTAAGAGGAAGAGATACACAGTTACCGTGTCACTGATTTCAAGAGAAACATTTTTCAGATTTAACATCTTGGAAACCCAGATGCATTATATAATAGAAGACATGACATAGTTTAATAATTTTTTCTTTCTTTCTTAGTGGGACATAAAATAATGGTGGAGTTAACATTTGATGGTATCTCATATGTGATGAAATATGGTAGATCCCAAACCCTACCAAACACACACACACACACACACACACACATACACACACACACACACACTCTGGGGCCCTCTGGTGAGTTTTGCCAGGGGTGCTATCTAAGGTTGAAATCTTGCTTACATTTTTAAGTATAAATATAACCCTCACAACACCCCATGAGCAGGCAAGACAAGAGTCATTATCCCTTTGTTATTTTTCAAACTTTAAAAAACAAAAACCAATGCATTCTTATTGTAGAAAAATTGGAGAATTACAAAAAGTAAAGAGAATAGGTAAATCGCTAATAATTCCTTGACATATTATAGCCTCCTCGTTCTTTTTTGTTAAGCATGCATGTGCATATATGTATTTTCATTTTGAGTTTTAAGTTTATTTTTTAAAATGCAAAAGTGGGACACCTAGGTGGCTCAAATGGTTAAGTGGCTGCCTTTGGCTCAGGTCATGATCCCAGGGTCCTGGGGTCGGGCTCCCTGCTCAGTGCAGAGCCTGCTTCTCCCTCTCCCTCTGCCATTCCCTCTGCTTGTGCTCTCTGGCCCTATCTCTCTCTCAAATAAATAAATAAATAAATAGATCTTTAAAAAAATAAAATAAAATGCAAAAATAATATAGGTATATGTTGGGGCGCCTGGGTGGCTCAGTTGGTTAAGCGACTGCCTTCGGCTCAGGTCATGATCCTGGAGTCCCGGGATCGAGTCCCGCATCGGGGTCCCTGCTCAACAGGAAGTCTGCTTCTCCCTCTGACCCTCCCCCCTCTCATGTGCTCTCTCTCTCTCATTCTCTCTCTCAAATAAATAAATAAAATCTTTAAAATATATATATAGGTATATGTTAAGAAAAAAACCTTTCTTGCTGGGTATACACAAAGAAAAGTTTCCCTCTTGTGCCAGATCTTCTGAGGGATCTCCTCATAAACAACCACTGTTTACTGTTTCTTGGATATCCTCACAGAAATAATCTCTTTGTGCATCTATTTTTATACACATTATTATGCACCTAGATCTTTTTCCCTTTGTGTGGCCATCTTTCCTTTGAGTTCATATAGATTTTTTTAACAGCTTTATTGAGGGATAAGTTACATACCATAAAATTCACCCACTTTGAGTGTACAACTCAATTACTTTGAGCAAATTTAATAGAGTTGCGGAAGAACTATCTCCACAATCCAATTTTAGAACATTTCCATCATCACCAAATTTGCTGTCACTTCCAATCTCATTTCCAGCCACAAACAACCACTCATCTGCTTTCTGTCTCCATAGATTTGCCTTTCTGGACATTTCATCTCGATATACCCTATGTCATTTTTTGTGTAGGGCTTCTTTTTCTTAGCATGATGTTTTCATGGTTCGTCCATCCTGTAGCATTCCTTTATTGCTGAATAATAGCCCGCTGTATGGATATACCACATTTTGTTTAACCATTCATCAGTTAATGGGTGTTGGGGCTGCGAAAGTTTTGTTGATTATAAATAACACCACTATGACCGTCTGAATATATGGACATATGTTTTAATTTCCGTACCTAGAAACTTGATTCATTCTTTTTTTTATGGCTGTATAGCATTTCGCTGCTTGGATGTACCATTTTTTAAAAAAGATTTTGTTTATTTATTTGACAGAGAGAGACACAGCAAGAGAGGGAATACAAGCACAGGGAGTGGGAGAGGGAGAGGGAGAAGCAGGCTTCCCGCGGAGCAGGGAGCCCGATGCGGGGCTCAATCCCAGGACCGTGGGATCATGACCTGAGCCGAAGGCAGACACTTAACGACTGAGCCACCCAGGCTCCCCTGGATGTACCATTTTTTACTTAACCAGTCCCCTTTCTTACAGACAATCAGTTTTTTCGCCACATGTGAACTTCTGTTCTTTTTGTTTTGTTTTGTTTTTAAGATTTTATTTATTTCAGGGCGCCTGGGTGGCTCAGTTGGTTAAGCGACTGCCTTCGGCTCAGGTCATGATCCTGGAGTCCCGGAATCGAGTCCCACATCGGGCTCCCTGCTCGGCGGGGAGTCTGCTTCTCCCTCTGACCCTCCCCCCTCTCATGTGCTCTCTCTCTCATTCTTTCTCTCAAATAAATAAATAAATAAATAACTTAAAAAAAAAAAAGATTTTCAGAGAGAGAGAGAACGCGCCCACTGGCAGGAATGACGGGGAGGCAGGGGCAGAGGGAGAAGCCGACTCCCTGCTGAGCAGAGAACCTGATGCAGGGCTCCATCCGAAGACCCTGGGATCACAACCTGAGCCAAAAGCAGATTGTTAACCGACTGAGGCACCGAGGCGTCCCTCCACATCTGAATTTCTTTTTTTCTTTTTTTAAAAATGTATTTATTTATTTGACAGAGAGAGACACAGCGAAAAGAGGGAACACAAGCATGGGGAGTGGGGGAGGGAGAAGTAGGCTTCCCCCCCCCCCAGCAGGGAGCCTGATCTGGGGCTCCACCCCAGGACCCTGGGACCATGACCTGAGCCAAAGACAGCCGCTTAAGGACTGAGCCACCCAGGCGCCCCCACATGTGAATTTCTTTAAAAAAAGAAACAAAAAAGGATTACTGACAAGGACACTGAGGTCTAGAGAAGGGAAAACCGTTGACAGAGT